TACTGGGTGGTGGCGCGCGCCGGGCCCGTGCAGAGCGGCGGCGACGCGCTCAGCTTCACGTTGCGGCCCGGCGGCGACGTGCTCCTGGGCGTCAACGGGCGCCCGCGCGGCCGCCTGCTGTGCGTCGACACCACGCAGGCGCTCTGGGCCTTCTTTGCCGTGCGCGGCGGTGCCGCGGGCCAGCTGCGTCTCCTCGGTGAGTCCCCGCCCGACCGCGCGTGCGCGAGGCCCCACCCCGCCGGCTCCCGCCCACTAACTGCCCCCAGCACACTACCCAGCCCGCGGCTCCCGACCTTGAGCTTCCAGCAGTATCACCGGCCTCGCCCCCGAGCTCCCGACCCAGTAGGTCTGGGGTGCTCCCCAAGAACGTGCATTTCTAGCAAGTGCCCCGATGATGCCGATGTTGCTGCTCCTGGGACCGCTCTTTGTTAACCACCGACCTAAAGCTTGGTAGTCTGTATACAGTCGGTAAATGGTCGGTGCAATTTTTAGATCCGTTATGATCTGTTCTGTTAGGGCGCTTTAAGCGTATGTCATGCATGTTAAGTGTAAGAGAAAAAATAAGTTGAGCTGTCATTCACAACTCAGGTGAAAAAAAATAAGTTTAACTGCACGTAAAAGAGGAAATAAGAATAGCACCGTCCACAGAAAATGGAATGGAGACTTGAACCGTCCAGTTTTGAGATTCTTGCCTTCATTCATGCTGCAGATAGAAATGGAGCCCCCGCCAACTGTGGGCCAAGCCCTGGGCTCCGGGATAGGGCCCGCAGAAGACAGGACACCGAAGGCCCTGCGTACGAGGAGCTCCCAGACATCTGAAGGGAAAGCTGCCCGCTGTGCAGGTGGCTGCAGCATTGGAGGGGCTTCTCTTCCAGCTTAGTGGAGTCAGGGTGGTAGTCAAGGAAGGCTTCCCAGACAGCCCAGTTCCATTTTCAGGGTTCGAGAAGTAAAGTCAAAATAACAGAAACAGTCAACATTTCATATGTTACCTCTTTAAATTTTATTCTCCCAATGACACTGTGAAATCAGTATCATTATCCCCATCTACATATGAGAAAATTGAAGCACAGAGGGATTACATGACAGTCCCAGAGTCACATAGCTGTTAGCTATGAAGATGCTGGACAAATCACAGACTCTCTTGAGCCTCAGTTTCCCTCTGTGTAGAAAGAGAGTAATGCCTGCATCATGGGGTTGTCAGGAGGATGGAGTGATGAGGTGCGTGTAATGCCTTCAGCAGGGCCTGACATGGCGTGTCTAATCAGTGGTAATAGAGCAACAGCTACTGCAGTTGCCTGAATGAGGGCAGAGAAGGAGCAGGGTGTTGGTTGTGGGGTCGTTTTTTGTTTCTGTTTTTTTGAGGAACCATCAGACATAATCACCATTTCAGCCTGAGATGAATTGCCCATTATCTGTGCATTCATTCTCAAGTAGGGAAAGGGAAAGGGCATTTCTCTTCATCCTAAAACTTCATCCTATCATCTGAACCAACAGTAAACTTGGGGAAGAAAACACATCCACTAGTAGTCAGGGATCTTGTAGTTGCAAGTGACAAAACCCCACTCAAGGAGCCCTAAGCAAAAAAGGGAAATTTATGGGTAAACATAAGTGAAGTCTGAGAGTACAGTTATGCATCACATGATGACATTTCCATCAATGATAGATCACATATACGATGGTGGTCCCATAAGATTATAATGGATATACCACATAGTCTAGGTGTGTAGTGACCTATACCATTTGGTTTGTGTAAGTACGCTTTATGGTATTTGCACAGCAATGAAATTGCCTAATGACACATTTTTTAGAATATATCCTCATGGTTACGTGATGCATGACTATATCGGGTGGCTTCAAGAACAGCTGGACCTAGTTGTTGAAAGGATGTCATCAGGATCCCTTCTCTCTTTCCATCTCAAAGCTCTACTCTCCTCTGTTGCCTTAACTCAGGCAGGCCCTTGCCACAGGGCGGCTTTTACAACACCAGGCTTACCTCCTGTATTAGTCTGTTTCTGTTGCTTATAACAAAATAATCTGGAACTGGGTAATTTGTAAGAAAATGAAGTTTATTGCTTACAACTTTGGAGGCTGGGAAGTCTAAAGTCCAGGGAACACATCTGGTGAGGTAACTCTACAGCAATGCAGGGTGTCACATGGTGAGAAAGGCAGAACAGAGAGCTAACGTGACTGCTTCTCCTTTTAAAGCCCTCAGAGCCACACCCGTGACCATCAGTTGGATTAATCCATTTACTAGGGCATGGTACTCACAATCTAATCACCTCTTCAAAGCCTCACCTTTCAGTTACCATAATAGGGTTTCCCACCCTCTTAACACTGTCACATGGAGGTTAAGTTTCTAATACATGGACTTTGGGGCCACAGTTCAATCCACAGCACCCCCCAGTGGAATGAGCCCCAACTTTCCCAACAGTTCTAGTGAAAATCACACAGTCGGTCCTCAGTGGCCTTGCTTGAATTATGTGCCCTTCCCTGAACCACCATTGAAACCAACGAGTGGAACTTTTTGGCCTGGATCATGTGAGTGAGGGTGAAATAATGCCCCAAAAGACCATCCCAGCGCTATTTCTGAAATAAACGGAAGTGGAGGGTGAGCAAGCAAAGAACCGATGTCCACTGCACTTGTGCGAACTCGTCAGTCCTTAGAGGAACCCTGGGAGGTAGCTCCTGTCATCTCATTAGACAGCTGGGGAAGCTAAGGTGCAAAGTGGTGAAGAACTAGGGATTAGCAGGGCAGGTCCAGCCTACCACCTTCCCTGATGGAGTCTCTTTGGGTTTCAGGTACCCTGCAGTCCAGTCCTGCGACCACAACTCCATCAGGATCCCTCAGCGGCTCCCAGGATGATAGTGATTCAGATATGACCTTCAGTGTCAACCAGTCCTCCTCAGCATCTGAGTCATCCCTGGGTAAAGAAATGTAAACCCTGGCAGGGGGCAGGGGCTGGAGGCTGGCCTGGCTATGCCAGTGGCCTTCCCGGGGCTGAGCAGGGTGGCTGCCTTCCCCCTGCCTCCTCACCTTCTCTCAGCCGTACATTCAGCTGATTCAGCTGGAGGGAGGAGAAACATCTAGATATGGCATCCCAAAGGGTAATGATGGTGTCATTTTGTCTCGATGCTTTGTGGAGCAGAGGATAGAAGGGTAGAGAGAAAGCTGCAAAACCCAGAACGTAAACCAACATTGGTATCTCCCAAAATTGTTTCCCCACCAAGAAGCCCGATATTCTTGGAGTTACCCCAGCAGAGCCCCCCTCCCTGGGAACTACATTATTAATGTATGACCTCTTCTCCCTTTCAACAGTGACAGCCCCCAGCTCACCAATGAGTCCCCCGGTGTCACCGGTGTTCCCCCCACCCGAGCCAGCAGGTGGCAAGAATGGCGAGTGCACAGTGTGCTTCGACGGTGAGGTGGACACGGTCATCTACACATGTGGACATATGTGCCTGTGCCACAACTGTGGTCTGCGGCTCAAAAGGCAGGCCCGGGCCTGCTGCCCCATCTGCCGGCGGCCCATCAAGGACGTCATTAAGATCTACAGGCCATAGCCTGGCCTGCCGACAGGCCTTGGCTAGAGCAAGGTCACCTTTCTGAAGCCCTCCTGGGTCAGGCAACTACCATGCAGCCAGGGAGTCCAAGGGCAGCAGCCATCTTGTCTGCCACTCTGCAATGGTGGGCAAGGCAGGACAGTTGTGGAGATGAGGCCCCGGGGATCTGAGCCCAGGCAAGGGTTGCTTCCGGCTCAGAAGTGCTTTGTCCCCCAAAGGCTGTCCCAAGAGCAAGCTCAGGAACTGCCTGGCAGATCACCCTGTCCCCTGGTGACCTTTCAGCTGGGAAACAGCGTCCTCTGTCTGTGCAATGCTTCTTTCTGGGGTTAGGTCGAGTGTGTATGTGAGAAAAGGAGGGAAGGGAGGGAGCCAGAGAATAGAGAATGTGTGTGTGTGAGAGAGAGAGAACACACAGGGATTTTATCCAGGGATCCTGGCTCTAGGAGGTTACTGAACACTAAGGAATGTGCAATCCAGAGCCCAGATGTTAGCGTGACTAGAAATCGTTCACTTTCTGAGGATGGGACATAAGCTGGTTTTGAATGTATGAAGCCTGAACCTAAACAGAACTCCCTTGGATGGTATAGAAAAGAGACACTTGTTTTCTAAGGCGAAGCAGAAATAACTCACTGTTTACAGCTCTAATGCAGCAACTCCTTGGGGGAAAGGTGGGCGGATAACATAAGAGAAAATTCACTTTTTTTTTGTTTCTTGGAGCCTAGTTTTGATGGGTGCTGTGGCAGAGTGCCCTGGGCTGCCTCCTCCTCTCACACCTTCACCTGCAGACAGTCTAATAATAAGCACATTGCACCTTGACTCTGTCTCTATTTTTTGTGACATCCTTTCCCATCTCCAAGGAGAAGACAAGAGGCAGGTTCTCTTTTCCTGGGGGAGGGAAAGCATCCTAGAGGCATGTGACTCACCTGGAGTTGGAAAGGCCACGGAGTACAGACAGCTCTCCCTATTTCCTGTCGTAACCATAGTGCAGACAGCTCTTCTATTTTCAGTTGTAACCCTTGGGCCTGGTTTTAACCAGGGGTTTTGGGCATTCCCAGGGCAATCTGCTAGCAGAAGTAGGAGGAGGGGTTAGGGCTTTGTAACTGGTCTTTGTTTTGATTCCCAGTTTGTTTACCCCTGCTGATTACTAAGGTGTAATTGATAAGTACCATGTTAACTGAGAATTGAAACATTAACTGAAAATGCTGGCATTGTGATTCCCCCCTTCCCAGGTCTATTTGCTAGTATTATGTGGGGCCCTGACCCTACTCCCATCCCATCACCCCTGCCTGGGCCCCTCTCTGTAGACTCTCAGACTACACCTTGGCTGATGGGCTGGCACAGGCCTGCTCCTCCTTTCTTCCCCCCAGTTCTGGGCTTCACCTCTGCCCTGTCCCATGCTGTACTTTTAGGGAAATCCCTTGGTCTCCATATTTCTCAGTTTCCAATTAGAAGTCTAGTACCTGACTGCTCCAAGATCTCTCAGGAGGACCAGAACAACATTCTAAAAAACCTGAGATACCTTGCAAAGAGCAAGTACGGTTTTTGTTATAGTTACGAATCTGACCATCTCCTGCTGAGGGAGAGAGGGAGCAGGAAACATTCAGGGAGTTTATGCATTCATATAACAAACATTTGCTGGGTGTCTGGGTGTTCGGAGCAAAGCCGGGCCAGGCCCTCCTCAGATCAGGTACCGCGACCAGCCAGTGCCCTTGCAGTACTGGAGGCCTTAGGTCAAGCACTCCTCTGGCTGGGAGTAGTTATGGTTTTCTGATCTGATCTCAACTTTAGACCCTACTCTCTTGCCCTGTCTAGAACCCCTGATTGACTACTTTTCCCTACTGAATCTGGGAAATATGCCTACATCTTAATTTTGGAGCAGACTCTTTTGGGGAGCTACAGGAACCACAGTGTTTGTCACCATAAAAATTTGAGAATTTAGGCAGCCCTGGGTGCCCAGCTGAATTTGGTCAGTGGGAGCCTTCCATTTACTGGGTCTGGGCAGAGCCACATACAGGCCCTGTGTGGGAGGGCTCGTCAGCTGGGACTGTGGTTCTCCAGGAAACTGCCCCTGTCATCAGATTAAGACACAGTCACAAACTTCAGTGGCCTGGGGAGCCAGCTCCTCTCCTGCCATTTGCTCTTCCTGGCTGCCCCCTTGGGTTCAGCCAGGGTCATGTACAGCCACTACCAGGAAGCCAGTGGCTGAGGACCTTTACCTAGGGATGGACCAGGCCTGGCTCCTGGTGACCTGTTAACTGGGAAAAAAGGAGCCAGTGGCCTGTTTAACCTTTTCTGCAGTCTCTATAAATAGCCTCCCTGTTTCCAAGAGGAGTTAAGGGGGCATATCTTCTAAACACCAGACATTTCCTGATGCTCTAAACTGACTTATTCAATTTTGCAGAGGAGGAGCTCACATCCTCCTGTATGTTCTGTCTTAGGAAAAGGAATCACCATTTTCAGTTTCACACCTACTGTGTGCCTTGGCACTGGGCCCGAGAGGTACTTTTCTGCATTAATCCGATGAGGCATGTCTTATTACGATATTGAGTCTCACTGAAGATACTGCTGATGACGAAATGCATTGGATATGTACCACTAAGAAAAAACACTGCCGATCTTAACTGTAGGATGCCACAACTGTCCAATTCATTCCAATCAGAGATGTTCAGGTGTGAAAAATACGTGCTACTTAGAATCAGCGAGATGTGATGTCCCCATTTGGTAGGTCAGGGAACTGAGGTCCTGTGAGTGAAGTGACAACAGTCACACAACAGGAGATGGCGGGCTGGGATTCAAACCCAAAAGTGTCTGGTCTGAAACCCCATGCTCCCCACTGCCTGGCTCTGAATCCCAGAAAGCTCAAGACTTTTGAGTTGTCACCTGAAGAGAGCCTGGTCACCTGTGCCTGTGTGGAGGTTCCAGCCCCAGGCTGTGGCCCACACCCTGGAAGGACAAGTGTCCTTTTTTTCAGGTTCATTTGTTCACTGCCCACCTTCTGGCAGAGCTGAACTCTGTGACAATTTGGCTCCAACTCAATTGCCTCCTCCTGTTAGGTGGGGACATGCAGATGGGACAACACTGGGGAGGGACCCAGGGCCTTGTCCCACCACATTCCTGGGCCTTATGACCAGCACCCTCTCAAGTAGGGTCCCCAGCCCACTGAGCACCCCCTCAGTTGACCCAGCCCTCCTATTTCCCAGGCCAACTGCCCATTGTGTGCCCTTCTGTGCTGCAGCAGCAAGGGCTCCTAGGAGTGGAGAGACCAGAAGACTCCCCGTTTGTTGTGCTCTTGTTCCTGTTCGTTTGGAGCCTCCTGAAAAACTGGGCTGTTTCCAGCGTAAAACAAGCTTTTTCCAGTGTGTTCCTAGAAAAGGGAGCCTTCTGGGATTTAGCGACTCGGGCACCTGCCCTAACTGTGGCATCACTAATCAGCACGAACTGTGTTCTGGACACAGAGTTGAGAACTGGGACTAAAGACAAAGCCTGCGAGATGCTCACAGTCCAGAGGAGATAGATTTATAAACTTTTATTTGATCCCTCTGGTGTTGGGTTCTGAGCTAGCATGTAGTAGGTACCCAGTAAAGATTCCTGAATAAGCCAGAAATCAGATTGTGAGTGTTCAGGGGTTTGGTAAAACACGCAAAGTCATTCAGCGAACATTTGCTGAGTGCCATAGGTGCGGAATGCTGGGAGGATTGAGCAGAGAGGACCGTGGCCTAGCTCTGATGCCAGAGGTGGGACATTAAGAGGGTAGTGAGACATTTGGGGGAGGATCCATTGGGCTTTCTTGGCCAATCTGTTGCCTCAGGTCCATCTAGGTAAGTGCCTGATGACTGCTTTCCTGACCTGAGGCCCCCTGCATGCTTTGAAAAACCTCCTCCGTGTTAGAAGTGGTGAGCACCTTGCAGCCAGTGAGCTGCTGCCAAAATGGCCTTAGAATCTCCAATCCTCACCCCCCACCCGCCTCACCCTCAGGTCCTCCCAGGAAGACACTGGGGAGATGGCTACCTGCCACTTTTAGCTCCTGGAAATCAGTCCCCAAGGCCCAAGAGAATCCTGAGAGTCAGTTCCAGCTGAGAATGGGGTTGTGTAAAGTCTTGGTGAATGAGAGGCAATAACCTCCCACTGCTAGATCCTGTCCCCGCCCCAGTTCTGGCAGGGGGACACCGGCTCAGGAACATGTGGCCTCCTGGCATTTCTTGGTATTTAGTTGTCTCACTGTTTTTTCAAAGTCCCTAATGAAATTACTTGTACAACAATCTGTCTGTGCCTTATGAAAATGTCTGTGCACTTTTTATCCTTTTTAAAGCAACTTTTAAAAGTGAATGGGGGACTAGCATACATGGTAGGGTTCTAGATATCTGTGATAATCACCAAGACCCTTTTGCATTGTTTTTGATGTTGAAGTGATAAAGTGTACATACCCCACCCCACACCCTGCTACCTGTGTACAGACCTTTTTAAACATGTCTCTTATTATATTTCTGATTCAATACTGTGACCTCTCCAATACTGTTTAATCTTTGGGGATCTGTAATAAGGGTTTTAAAACTTGGGGAAGTGGGTTGGGAAGGGTTTGCACTGGTCTTGTGTGTTGTGCTTTTGTGTGTTGTGTGTTCTGATTTTTGTCTGTTTTTATCTGTTTATATTAACATAATTTTCCTGTTAAAAAAACAAATACAACTTTGGCTTGTTAAAAAAGAAAGTCTCTTCAGAACTCAGTATTTATTTTTATTGAAACAGGATTATACATATCTGTGGGTGCAGTGTTGAATATCGATACTTGTGTGCAATATGTAATGCTCAAATCAGGATAATTAGTACGTTCAACGTTACACAATGTTGTTGCTTTTTGCAGCCCTTTACCAAGTTCTCACTAACTCCTCCCCCTCCGCCTTTCTCACCTCTGGTGGCCTCATGGAACTCAGTTTTTAAAATCACAGTAACATTTTCTTTAAGAAGTTTTATTGTTTCAGGGTGTATATTTAATTCTTTAATCCATTTTGAGTTGACTTTAGTGTATGGTGAGAGGTATGGGTCTAGTTTCATTCTCCTGCATGTTGATATCCAGTTCTCCCAGCACCATTTGCTAAAGAGGCAGTCTCTTCCCCAGTGTATAGGCTTGGTGCCTTTGTCAAAGATCAGATGGCTGTAGGTGTGTGGGTTGATTTCTGGATTCTCTATTCTATTCCATTGATCAGTGTGTCTGTTTTTATGCCAGTACCATACTGTTTTGGATACAACAAGCAAACAGAAAGGACACTGTTGGGTGGGAAGGGGGAGAGGGAGGAGGGAGGGGGGTTTCGGTAATGGGCCACAATAATCAACCTCATTGTATATCGACAAAATAAAATTTAAAAATAAATAAATAAATAAATAAAATCACACTAACATACACTGCTGGGGAGTGGAGGTGAGGGATTGAGTTGTTGCCAGCCTTCAGGAAACAAGTTGCAAAATGTCTACAGAGCCCTGACAGTGTTTCACTTGTTTGCCAAGTAACTCACTTCTGCAAAAGTATGGCAAGGAAATTATTCTTATCAAGGATAAGCTCTGTGTAAAGATGTTCATCGCAGCATTATTTATAATGGTCAAAAACTGTAAGCAACCCTAATGTCCAACAATCAGGGTGTACTTGATAAAACTGGTCACAAGTGACAGAAACCCAACTTCGACAGGTTTAAGGGGATAAAAGGCTCAGGTCACTGAAAAATCCAGTAGTAGAACCCACTTCACGTACAACTGTATCCATGATGCATTGGGACTTGGCCTCTCTCCCTCTCTCCGCCCCATTCCCAGGCAGGTTCTCAAGGTAG